CAGGTTATTGATGTTAATGGTTCACGTGTAGCGGGGACCCCCTATGGATCCCCATGGATAATAGTAGGCTGGCAAAAGAATAAATTTATTGTCTGATTATTGAAGTGCAAAAGTATGACATGTGCTATGTTATAAAGTGTATATGATTTTATGATGGTTATCATGCTGTTATTTTCACATATTATTTTCACAAATCTCACCGAGGTAAGTGGACAATAAATGTTTTTATTATTAATAAATGAGTTTGTTATAAATTATGCTCTATTGGTCGTTTTTGTTTTCTACCAATCTTTACTTCCGTGGCAGTGAGATAGTGTGATGTCTTTACTGGGTTAGTGTAGCTCATTCCTTACTTAACCATTTCAGATCAGGAAGACGTGATTCCCGAGCCCGTTCCGCAGGAAGACGGCGAGTTAGATGCCTAAAGATTTTATAGTTCTATTTATAGTTTTTATTTCGAGTACTTCTTTTAATTAGCTTATTCTTTCATATGTTGAATACGTTTATGGTTATTGTGTAAGGGATGTTAATCAAAATTTTTATTACGCTTCCGCATTTAAGATTTTTAATACATATATCTTCACTTAAATTTCCAGAGTCGTTACAATACCATCTTTTCTTTTAAGCTGTACAGATAGTCTTCATTGTTTTGACTTGGTACATTTTAATATTTGGGGGTTAGGTTTCCATTGCTTCCCTTTATGGTCACCACTATTTTTTTACTATCGTTGATGACCTAAGTAGGTCTACATGGTTGTACCCTATGAAGAACAAAGCATAAATGAGGAAAATAATGGTTGATTTTTTTTGTTTTGATTGAAACGCAATTTAGTGAAAGAATTAAATGTATACGGATTGATAATGGAAAATAATTCAACATAGCTGAATTCTTTGCATCAAAAGGTACAATACATCAATGTTCATATCCGTATATACCTCAGCAAAATGGTGTTGTGGAAAGAAAACACTAACACATTTTAAATATGATTCCTTTTTTGCAGTTTCAAGCTAGTCTGCCCATGAAATTTTGGGCTGATTATATACTACATGTAATTCATTTAATCAACCATATACCTTCCCCGATCATTAACAATAAAACTCTATTTGAGCCTCTTTATAATTATGTTTCTCAGTACAAACATCTTAAGGTTTTTGGATGTTTGTGTTATGCTTCTAACTTGGCATAACAAAAATCTAAATTTGATTCTAGCACGTCTAAGTGTGTATATTAAAAGATATCGACTCTATAATATAGATCCTCAAAAAATATTTGTTTCCCGTGATGTTGAGTTTGTTGAGTATGTCTTTCCCTTTTCTTCTTATTCACCTGAGTCTTTAGATGATTTTGCACCCCCCAACATCCTTGATTCTGTAACAAATTACAACAATGTCGTTTGGTCTGCTAGACATCAAGGTAGTTCAACCTCATGTCACTCTCAAGCATCAATCAGCCCTGGTAATGCTTATTCTTCCTCACCTTTTGATAATTTTGTTTCATTATCCAATAATACACCTGAATTTTTTGCTATTGTATCTGATATATCACTCCATCCCGAGCCACAACAAGTTGATATTCACCTTAGAAAATCTACTAGACTTAGGAAGCATCCATCTCATTTGCATGACTACTTGTTATATGATCATAAGTCTCAGAATTAGTCTAATTCATTCACATCGCACTGCATTTCTAAAGTGATTTCGTACAAAAACCTTGACCCTTCTTATAAACCATATATTCTTGTAATGTCCCAAGAAATAGAACCTGAAAATTATAACCAAGCTATTAAAATTCCATGCTAGAAAGAGGCTATGAAATCTGAAATAGATGCTTTAGAAGAGAATCATATAGGAGATTTAGTCACCTTGCCCAAGAACAAAACTTCCATTGATTATAAATGGGTGTTCAGATAAAGAGGAAAGCTAATGGTTCCATTGAGTGATATAAGGCACGATTAGTTGCCAAGGGTTATACTTACTAATATGGAGTGGATTATTTAGATACATTCTCTTATGTTGCTAAGATAACTACCATTCAGACCTTACTTATTGTGGCTGTAACTAAAGCTTGGTATTTGCACTAACTTGACATTAACAATGCATTTTTACATGGAGACTTGAGTAAAGAAGTCTACATAACTCTTCTCCTAAGTGAAAGCCTAATCAAGTTTGTAAATTAATGAAGAATTTATGCAGTTTGAATTAAGCTAACAGACAATGGTACTTTAAGCTCACTACTACATTGAAAGGTCAAGGATTTCTTCAAGTATATTCTGATTCGTCATTATTTTTGAAGTCTTCTGGTGCAAGCTTTATTGCTCTTATTATGTATGTATAGATCTTATTCTTACTAGTAATGATATGTCTCTCATTACCTTTATAGAAGATTTTCTTCATGATGAATTTCGTATTAAAGATCTTGGTGAATTAAAGTTTTTCTTGGGGCTTGAGATTGCTCGTTCTCTTGAAGGCATTAATTTTGTCAAAGGAAGTACACTTTAGATCTTTTACAATAGACAAGTTTTCTGGGTTGTAAGCTAGTATCTACTCCTATGGTGTCTTCTACTCGGTTAATAAAAGGTGACGGTTCTCATTTGGTAGATTCTACTTCTTATCAAAAGCTAATTGGTAAACTTCTCTACTTAACCAACACAAGGCCATATATAAGTTTTTCTGTTCAAGAACTATCATAATTCTTGGATGCTTTGACTCAAGTTCACTTACAAGTTGCTCATCGAGTCTTACGATATTTAAAGGGGATACTTGGTCAAGGTTTGTTCTATCATTCTCAGAATTATGTACAGCTAAAGACATTTAGTGATTTGGATTGGACTTCTTGTGCGGATTCTCACAAATTTGTTACTAAATTTTGTATTTTTCTTGGTACTGCAATTATTTCTTAGAAGATAAAAAAACACCAAACTGTTTTCATGTTCTTCATCTGAAGTTAAATATCGTGCACTTGTATATGCTACTTGTGAGATTCAATGGTTGTAATATCTTCTTTTAGATCTAGAAATTTGTCATAAACAACCAACTCTCGTTTATTGTGACAATTTATCTATTCTATAAATTGTTAAAACCTGGTCTTTCATGAAAAAACTAAACATATTGAGATAAATTGTCACGTGGTTCGTCATAAAATTTCTAAAAGGCTTCTTCGGTTGTTACCAGTCTTTTCGTCTCATTTGTTAGTGTATTGTTTCACGAAACCTCTTCTTGCTTCTCACTTCAATGGTGTAATGGTCGAGCTGGGTATTTAAGATTTATATACTCCACCTTAAGAGGGGGAGGGGGGTGCTATTAGACATATGGAGTTAGTGTAAATTTTGTAAGTATAGGGGCTTTATTGTAAATATAGGGGTTTACTTGTATAAATTTACACTGTATATAAATAATATATTTTTTTTTTCAGTAATAAAACATAACCTCGTTTTTCACAGTTAAAACTTTCTTCCCATTTTCTATCTGCACAAGTTGATTGAAGATTGAATCAATCTTCCTATTTCGTAGTCTTCCTTAGTAAAATTTTATTGCAAAATTATTCAGAACTCATAAGATAGTACTGCTATAAATTGTGTATGTATGTACAATAATTTTAATATAAATATGATTTATTTTTCAAAATAAAGAAAAGATTTTCATATATCATTGTTAAAATTATTTTTTAAAGGAAATAAAAATAATTGATTAAATTTAATATTAACTTATAAAAAATAGATAAATCATAGTTTACTATTATTTTTAAAAATCGTTTGTGTAAAATATATTATAAATTATGATTAATTTATAAAAGTCAAATAATTTTGTTATAGAATAATATCCACATTGTGACTCTTTTAAGTTTTGAAGAAGAACATGATCACGTTTTAGGCTTTCTGCCAAAAAAGGACATGTCAGTTAATTGACGGCATGGATAATCAGGCCCATCTTGATTACTCCCGAAGTCCCACGAGCTTTTTTGATTTTATTTTATTTTTTCAAAAAGACTGGGATAATTTAGTGCAAATATCTTTTTGTATTAAAAAATAAATAAATACCACATTATAAATATATTTTTTAAAAAAATTGATTTAATCAATATTGGTAAAAAAGAAATTACAATGAACCCAAAAGAGAAAGAATATATATATATATATATAAACTTGGTCAAAAGGATGGAATTAGTCTTGACAAAAAGAGGAAAATTTTGGGAGTAATAATTGACACCATGAGAATTCCACAAAAGAAGGGAATTGGAATATCCACATTATAAATCCCACTCTCCATATATTTTCTCTACTCTAAAAACGTTTCCTTCCTTGTTCATGCAAAAGCTACTCTTAACATCAATGGAGGTACTTATCATCTTCTATCACTTTCTTTTTCTTTTTCACATTTCTTTAATTTTTCTCTGTTATTATTGACATGGCAAATTTAGTTCAACTATTTATTTAACTTTTGTTTGTTTTTTTTTACTTGTATCTTTCTGAATTAGTTTAGATTTTGAATTAATTTCTTATATGTAGTATAAAAATATAAACATATTTATAGATTGGATGAATTTTTAAAAATTAGGGTCACCCGATAAATTCAAAAAGACTTATTTTTGTTTAATTAAATATAATTAGTTAAATAATTGTGGGTATGAGTCAATTTATATGTTTTGTATTTTTTTTTTATTGAAAAATTATATTATATTATTAATAAATATGTGTCATTTAATTAGGTGATGGGGAAAAGCATAGTACACGATGCACCCGATAAATCTCCATAAATTTAATTAAAAATGCAAAAGCTTACAATATGGAAAGAAACTCGTAGTGTTAACGCGTCAACAACCGACACGGCAGATATCTTAACTTGGAGAGCGCATGAGCACGCGGCCATCGCGTGTGTATTTTAGAGTAAATCTCACTCGTACACGTGTCAGGAAATGCCAAATACACGTGTCATGAATCTATTTAATATCCGTATGCATACCCACACCCGACTTCTTGTATATATATGTACAGGATGATTGTATAATTCCTAAAAATTTCAAATCGGAGTCTCCTAGCGAGTGTCGTCGTTCAAATTTGCATATAGTCATAGATTTGGTTTCTGAAAAATCGGAGGGTGTGACGATGTCGCAGTTGGTGGACAAGGCGAAGAACTTCGTGGCGGAGAAGGTGGCAAATATGAAGAAGCCGGAGGCTACCGTGACGAATGTGGATTTGAAGGGGGTGAGTCGGAGCTCTGTGGAATACAACGCGCAGGTTTCTGTCATCAATCCTTACGGACATCCTATCCCCATTTGCCAGATCTCCTACAGCCTCAAGAGCGCTGGAAGGTTTGATCCACTTCAACTCTTCTCATTTATACTCATTGATCTTCGTTGCTTCTTTGTTTTTTTGTTCATATCGATTTTTCTGGAGAATTCTTACGTTGTATCGTCACTTAAATGTGTAACTCATAATTATCATGAACAAATTACATCAAAACGATTATCCATTCAAGTATGAGTGCGTCTATGATTATAATCATTCGCTATATTGAAATTTTAGATAGTATGACGAGGTTTTGGGGAAAATGTTGGTGACTTGTAGAAGAAGTTGCAATTATACGGCTATGATTTTGGTTTAAATCATATGTCTAGGAACATGGAAGAAAAGTCCAACAAAGAGAGAATACATACACACACACACGCACATATATGTTCCCTTTTACTTTTAACAAGGGACCGATATATTTGGCAAGATTACTAGAGATTGACATTAGAGAAAGCACCCACTTCCCTTTCCTTTAATTTTGGATATATTCTCTCATTTAAGGTACTTATATTCCTTTTTTTTTTTTTTTTTTTTTTTTTAAGAGACGTGCTTCTTTTTTTCATTAAAGAAAAAGAGATGTGCTTCTTAGTTCATGACAAATTATTAAATCTTTTAGTAATTTGATTTCAACAACAATTTATAATGAATATATAAAATCACTTTTCTATCATTTAGATATATATTAGAAAATTGGTGTGGTTATTTTCGGAAAAAAAAAAAGAAAACAAAATTCTATTCTATTACATATACATATATATACTCAAATATCTCTTTATCTTATAAAAAATATAGGTTATTATACATTTAAAAATTTATGTTGGGCCAAGTTAGGGTTTAAAAAAGTTGATGAAGAAGTATATCCCAGAAACAAACTAACCGAGGTTAGCCCGATTGTTTATGCCCTCCCCTCTTTGTCGAGAGGGTTAGACTTTTACAGGCCAACAAAAAAAAATCTACGGCCAATAGTTAATGAATTGTTTGTTATGCCTTTCTACTTACAAAATTAGAAAATAATTGCTCGGGTCCCAAATTTTATGAACTAGAGTATTGGACTTAGTTGGGCCTGGGATTTGGATGCAATGAATAAAATAAATCTATTGTGAAAGAATTCCATGTCAGTGAGATTTTCTTTGTTAATGTTTGATTTGGTTTTATTTAATTTTTATGTTAGCTGAATTTGTAGAATTATATTTAATTTTTTTTATTTTGTATACTGAAAGTGGGTATTTCGATAATACTGAAAAAATATATTCCGTATTAATATGTATTAAGAGTAACATCAAATATTACGACTGTGAATTAGATGAGAATAAAATGAGAATTGAATTATACACAACCTAATTGAAATTTATGTTTTCTCCTACTTCATAATGAATTGATTCTCATAATGATCCAGAATGTTTTTAACTTAAATATGAATGTTTGAGGTTACATTTTGATGCTTGAGTAATGCATGTGTATACGTATATATTGTATGATATTATATTTGATAATATGAATTGATCAGAGAGATAGCATCTGGGACAATGGCGGACCCAGGATCACTGAAGGCAAGTGACACTACCATACTGGACGTGCCCGTTAACGTACCCTACAGCATTCTGGTGAGTCTGGCGAGGGACATTGGCGCAGACTGGGACATTGACTACGAGCTAAACTTGGGTCTGACCATTGACCTCCCCGTCATTGGCGACATTACCATTCCTGTATCCACTAAAGGCGAGATCAAGCTCCCTACTCTCTCTGATGTCTTTTAACTTCTATTTCCCACCACCTCTTCTCTTTTTTTTTTTTTTTCCTTTTCTTTTTCCCCTGTAATAATTAGGAGAACCAGATCCATGGATGTATTTCAAGTTATTGAACATGGCATGGTGGTTCAACTTCGCGTGCAATTATTATGATAACCAATATTTAAAATTTCTAATTTTCCATTTAATTATTATTTTTAACTATAATTATTAAATTGGGTTCAAAATGTGAAGTGAAAGTTATTTAATTTTTTTAATGAGAAATTATGAATTAAATATTGAGCCTTAATTTACGGTGAGATATACATATTAGATAAATCCCTGTAATAATTAGGATCAGTAGGTGCATGAATGCGTTTCAAGTCAATGAACATGGCGCATGGTGTTTCAACCTCATGTGCAACTACTGTAATAACTAATTTTTAAAATTAAACACTTATCATTTCGTTATGTTTTTTTTTAAGCTATAGTTATGTATGTAATTACTTAAAATTTACTGTCGCATACACATTAGATATGTAAAAGTATATCGAGAAGTAAATTATTTTAAAAAATTTATGCTAACGTTGTCCATTAAAAATATTTATTTTAAAATTAGATTGTAAATATATGTTTGAAAATTCAAATTCAATGAACCATAGTTTATTTTTCAAGCTAATATAAAAAGTAATTATGTAATGCCCAATTAATTTTAATGTATTTAAAATTAATTTATAAATATAATTTTTTTTATATTTTTAAATTTTAAATTAATGTAAAAATGAAGAAAAATAGGTGAAAGATGAAATTAAAAATAATTTTAGGAAAAAAATGGTGAAAATTTAAATTCTGAGAGTATTTTTGAAAGAAAAATCGAAAACTAAGAGTCAAAACGTAATTTAGAAAAGTTGTGCCACATAGAACGTCCAATCGGCAACCCCGACGAACCAGAACACGTCGTGTGGCAAGGGACGCTCATGCAGTGCCACACGGGAGGCCACGCGAGCGATCCGCATGCCCGTGATCGGACGGCCCAGGTTCGTTCCCATGCACACGGACGACCCAGATGCGTTCTCTCCCCAAATGTGATCAGACGGTCAAATTTAAACGTGATTAACAGTCTAGATCTACTTTCTATTTAAACACGATTGGACGGTCTAGATCAAATCAGGATGAACAGTCCAGATTCACTCCTTATTTAATTGCGATCGAATGGTCCAGATCAAATGCGATGGACTACCTAGATTGAAAGAGGACGGATATAAATAATCCTCCTCACGCCAAACCCTAACCCTAGCCACCAGACACCCTTGCCAGAGAAGAAGACCCAGTCGCTGGAAAGGAAAGCCGCCGCCATCCGCCGTCGCACCGAAGCCACTCCTAACCGCCAAAAGAGGAAAAAAAATTCTCTTTACTCATAATTCAATTTTAAACACCCCTATGGCCGAATCGGAGCAAAAACACTGGCAGATTGGATAGAAATCACGGGCAAAGTTTGGCGGCGCTGCCGCGAAAAATTTCAAAAAATGCCTCTGACGATGCCCTTTCCGATTCCCATTCTGCGTAATTCTTCTACAGTTGTAATTACTATTTCCTTCTCTACCGGTTGACCAAAGCAAAACACCCAACTGAAAAGGTGAGTTGGTGGAGCTGCCGCACCGAAGAACCCCGCCGCCGGTGAGTTTTAGTTTTTTATTTTTTTTTTGCCAATCGAGGCCTCTTAATGTGTTTTCTCGTAGGAATTGATGCAAGTTTAGCATTTCAGGCATCAATTTGAGTAAGAATCTCTCACCCTATTCTATGTTATGGAATTGAAGTCAAATTAACAAAAATACGGTGTTTTGTGCAATTTAGAAAATATTCATAATTAATTATGGGTTACTAATGGAGACATAACCGGAAATTATTCACTGTTGATTTCTGTTGAATTATTTTACAGCTTGAATGCATAATAATATATATTGATCGATTTTATAATTTTGAATGCATGTATTGCTGCCTTATGTGACTACAATTGAATTGAAAAATTGGGATGTAATTATATTTCCTGATGCATGTTTTGTTTGTTTTACATGATTACGCTTAAATTGGGAAACTGGAGATCAAAAGTAAATGAAAAATTGTGTGATTAAGTGAATGGATGAAATGGTAGCCTTACTAGATATCCTGAGAGATGATGGATGGACCAGGTACATAAGAAATCCTACCGTGAACGTTGTCTCATACCGGATGGGATATCGAGTCTTGGTAATTTGATGCTCATACCGGATGGGTATAGGGATAGTCCGTTTCACTCTCATATCAGACGAAGTATTGAGGTTTAGTAATTTGACACTCATATCGGACGGGGTATGAGGATGATCCATTAATGGGAAATGTTAAAGGAAATGGTGCACGCATTGTGGGGACATCGCTATGAACCCCCATAGATACTAATAGGTTGATAAAAGAGAAAACTATTGTTTCAACCAATTGCATATGAAATCATGAGATGTGTTATATTATTATCTCTATAAGTTGTTTTGTAAATCTCGTTATGGTAAGTAGATGATAAATGATTTTATTTATGATAAACAATTTTGCTAAATTAAGAGCTCCATTAGTTGTTTTTATTATTTCTACCAACCTTCATTTCTGTATCGGTGAGTAGCGTGATCAAGATGAGCCACCCCTACAGCGAGAGGATCCCGAACCACCCCAGTACGACCATGTTCCTCCACAGTACCACCCAACACCACCACAGTATGATCCGGTACCCCAGCCACAGTACCACCACAGTATGGCCCGGGTGCCCCTATCGCATCACCTGACACCACCACAGTACAATCTGGTGCCTCCACTGTATCATCCAGGATCACTGCTGGGCCACCCAGTCTATCCTTAGCATAGTCCAGTCCCTCTTCCATGGGACCCAGCTCCTCCCATGATGGACCCATACTACATCGAGAGATATAAAAGAATAAACTCATCTACTTTTACAGGGGGATCCTCATTTGAAGAGGTCGAGTACTAGTTAGCTGAGACAGAGAAGGCCTTCATGATTTTTGGGGTGATTCCCAAACAGAGAGTCATTTTTACTACTTATATGCTGGTGGGAGAAGCAGGTCGCTGGTGACAACTCAAGCAGGCCACCATGGCCTTTCTACTCACTTGAGAATAGTTCCTAACAGCCTTTCATGCAGAGTACCTTCTAGAACATCTCTGACATCTGAAGGAGATGGAGTTTGCACACTTGGTCTAGGAGGACATGACTGTATCAGAATATACTCAAAAGTTTCTAGAGTTGGGCTGGTATTCCCCTAATAGCATGATGGATGAAGGCAGGAAGGCAAGAAAGTTCGAGTGGGGTCTCTGTCTTGAGATCAAATAGCAGTTATATGTGTTCGAGCTCAGTACTTACTTGGCTGTTCTAGCTAAGGCACAATTAGTGGAGAGGAACCTTCGCATTTTCCCTCAAGTAGTAAGGAACCTCAGGCCCTCGGCTCCGTACCGTAGACCAACCCCTACTGCACCTGTTCAACAAAACAAGAGACTTAGGCCGATGACTCAGGCTCCAGCAGCAGGACACGATAAGACCTGTCAGCACTGTGGCAAGGATCATGGGGACCGACCCTACTATTGTCTCAACAACACCTGCCGCGTATGTGGTAGCGCCCAACATTATGTAAGGGAGTGCCCGAGGAACCAGAACCAAGCCAGACCTCCTATCCAGGACAAGACTTACAACCTCACTCAGCATGATGCAGAAGATAACCCAGACGTGGTACATGGTACGTACACTATTTATAACCATCCTGCTCATGTTTTGATTGATACTGGTGCATTGCATTCATTTGTTTCACATATTTTTGCATCAATGTATTACCTGAAAAGTTTGATTCTGTATTGTTTGTGTCTACTCCTGGGAGTAGAACATTACTGGGGGAGGTTGTATACAGAGCCTGTGTCATAAATATAGCAGATAGAAAATTGAGTGTGGAGCTAATATAAATTAACACGAGGGACTTTGATGTAATTTTAGGAATGAATTGGCTAGCGGCGTATCACGCCACCGTAGATTATTTTCACAAGAGGGACTGTGTCATAAATATAGCAGATAAAAAATTGAGTGTGGAGCTTATAGAAATTAACACGAGGGACTTTGATGTAATTTTAGGAATGAACTGGCTAGCGGCGTATCACGCCACCCGTAGATTATTTTCACAAGAAGGTGTATTCAACCTTTCTAATGAGAAGTTATTTACAAATTAATAAAATTCTTTAACATGTGTTTCCCTCATGGCAATTTTTCTCATTATCAAATATTTAAACCCAGCTGTTTTCTCTAACTAGACAAACCCAAGAAAAAAATTTGTATTCAAGAGATTTCGGTAGTCCGAGACTTTTCAGATGTATTTCCAGATGAATTATCTGGACTGCCAATGGACAGAAAAGTCGAATTCATCATAGACCTTCAGCCAGGCACCCAGCCTATTTCGATTGCTCCTTACTGCATGAGTCATGTTAAGATAGAGGAACTAAGGAAATAAATCACTGGATTGTAGGACAATGGATTCATTTGACATAGTGTGTCATCTTGGGGTGCCGGAGTCACATTTACGAGAAGGGGAGATGAGACATTGAGGTTATGTATTGACTACAGAGGTCTGAACAGGGTCACAATCAAGAACAAACACCCCCTCCCTAGGATCGATGACCTTTTTGGTCAGTTGCAGGGTGCCTAGGTCTTCTCCAAGATAGATCTGCGTTCAGGTTACCATCAGATAAAGATTAGAGCAGAAAACATTCCCAAAACGGTTTTTTGAACCAAATACGGACACTATGAGTTCCTGGTCATGCCATTTGGACTAACCAACGCTCCAGACATCTTTATGGACTTGATGAACAGGGTTCTTAAATAATTTCTGGATCAGTTTGTCATTATGTTTATTGATGATATCTTGGTTTATTCACAAAGTAGAGAGGAACACGCTCACCATCTGACTCAGGTTTTACAGGTTCTTAGAGAGAAGAAGTTGTATGCAAAGTTGAGTAAATGTGGATTCTGCCTTGAGCAGACTACCTTTCTAGGGCACATCATATCAAAAGATAGAGCGTCAGTT